CACTTGTTCTTGTGCTGGTTGATATTGCTTGTGCAGTCAGTAGCACTGGTTTTTTTTTGCTGTTGTTTATTCTGATGGTGTTTGTACAAGCACATAATAACTTAAGTTTAAAAGATGCTCATTAGGTATTACTACTCAGTAGACCTAAAAATGTATAATGTTTTGTGTATTAGTATATTTCATCCCTAGGGTGTAAAGTGAGCTCGGGTTGAAAAGAATCTTTATGCCCTTGTAATAAACTATATTTTTGTCATATTGCACCATCAAGCAAACTAAGGTACTAAACAAAATAGTTTTCATGTAAAGATAACCTCTCAAAACTTTTTCTAACTTGTTCTCAATTTTGCTAATGCAAACAAGCAGCTGTTTAGTAAATTATTCAATTATTTTGTCTATTGTGATTGTGTTAGTGTACATTATACTATCGCAATATGTCGAATTATTGACAAGAACGCCTCATTAATCTACTACCTTACATCAATTGACAAATGTGATTGCCTACAATCGATGTTCACAACAGCTGATTTTATTCCATATGGATTACTCCTTAGGAAGAAAAAGAGCTGTTTAAAAAAGAAACTGTTTTTAAAAAGGTATATTTGTTGGCCAGTGCTACTAGTCTACCAAGCATTTCCAGGTTGGCAAAACCAACGGAAATAAAATTTATCTGCCGATTGTGGCCAGTTCAGTTGACTTGATTGATTATGTTAAAATTGATTAAGACAACCTAAAAGTAATTTTTCTGATTGCAAAGGGTTAATTAACAATTTGTTATTGTTGCTGAATGTCAGATTTACATAAATGACTGTTATAATTTTTGCACAATTAGTTAAGCTGTTTTATAACAAGATTTAAAGTTTCACAACTCATTTAAAAAAAGGTATTCTTGTTTAATTTTGGATTATGGTTCATTTATGAAAGCAAGTGCATTCTTATGACAATGTTGAATGTTGTTAAGTCAAACTAATGCTTTGCTTTAGCTGAACAAATGTGGAGTCAATTTACTTCCTTTAAATTCAAGTATAATTTGGGTTTCTTTATATCTTCTGTCAGTTTTCTTTCAACATTGTCTCAATTTGAAAAGTGTGTCAAAGTATTGGCAAATTATTACTTGCTGGACAACTAACTTACCGATTGCACTAAATACAATGCAATCATTATAGCTTTAACATTTGTTTACTTAAATGTGATTTTTGTCAAAATAGGTATGGAATTCAATGTTTACCAATTACTAGGGTTATTTTCAAAATTTGTATCCAACAATTAAGTGTTGTAGCTTATGCACATGTTCCACTTTGTTTGTAACCCCTATATGTGTAGTAGTTGTATAAATGTGTCCATAATCAGCGCACAAAACATATGACATATTTGGTCTTCTCTCTCTCCACTTTGCCTTGTATTCTCTTACACCAATAATTAGTCACTTGAACATCAATAATCAAGTATGGATCAGATACACAACCGTGTTTCTGAAATAATGAAATGTACACTTAGAGGTTTTCAAGCATTATCTATTTTTTGCTTAAATGTTCAAAGCATTGTTAATGTTATAAGTTCAGTGAGCTTATTTAGCACTATTTAACTAACCTTTAATGTTATACCCTATCTATTTATTCGACTTTATTGAGGATTAAAATTACAAAAACAATACTTTTGAAAAGACTTGCGATATTTTATATTACTGTTGCTCAGGATGTTTGTCTACCGAATGTTTTTGACAGTTATAGAAACATGTGTCCCGTCTTTGAAAATTTATTGATTAACTATAAATCTGTTTACATTAATTTGTTGAATATTATTGTTAAGCTATAAACACAGGAGGCATTTTCTTAACCATCCACCTTATACATGGCCATGATCCACCCTAGTAAAAAGTTTGTCGTAAATTATTAGAAAATTTATTTAGAAATATTTCAAAAAATAGTTGTTTAGCCTCCGGATTACTGTATTATACTTAAAATGGTTTACAATACCTGCATATATAGTCCTCGCCACCCTAAGTTGAGGCAGCCAAAGGCCACACGGCGTATATGTAGTGCGGCCTTCGGCTGCCTCAACTTAGGGTGGCGAGGACTATAGTAATCCTTGGTTGCTGATTTTGGCAACTAGTTTTGGTTCATTATTGAACCATCTTCAGGTCTCAAGATGTCAAATAATCACTTCATTTGAAGGTCGTTAATAACAGAGTTCAATAAATAAGACATATACAAAACACGATACACGGAACTGACGCACATTACAAAAAACACGAAGGGACATTGACAATCGATCGTGACCGGGCTGAGGTAAAGTCTAGACTAGCGGTCAAAGTGGTCTATGACGTTGTCTCTGTCTTCTTATCACCGGTGCGTGTTCATTCATTCATTGTTCCCCTCCTGTATCCTAATAGATGTATTGTAAATATAGTTGGATTGAAAGGAGAGTTTATCGTTCAAAACGTTTTGATGGTCTGCTTTAACTGCTCTGTATATTTTAAACTCCTCCAATGTGTTTCTGTTTAAACGGTCCTGCGAAAAATGTAAAACTTCCATATTTTTCACATTAAAACGTTTTGAACGATAAACTCTCCTTTCAATCCAACTATATTTACAATACAGCTATTAGGATACTGGAGGGGAACAATGAATGAATGAACACGCACCGGTGATAAGAAGACAGAGACAACGTCATAGACCACTTTGACCGCTAGTCTAGACTTTACCTCAGCCCGGTCACGATCTATTGTCAATGTCCCTTTGTGTTTTTAGTAATGTGCGTCCGTTCCGTGTATCGTGTTTTGTATATGTCTTATTTATTGAACTCTGTTATTAACGACCTTCGAATGAAGTGATTATTTGACATCTTGAGGCCTGAAGATGGTTCAATAATGAACCGAAACTAGTTGCCAAAATCAGCAACAAAGGATTACTATATGCAGGTATTGTAAACCATTTTAAGAAATATTTCCTCTGAAAAAAAACAAAATTTTGAGTTGGTTATCAATTCAGATTTTAAAAAACCAAATAGATTGTATAAGATAATTTTATTGCAATTGTATTGCAAGATTTTCAGCAACCTTTAATTGTTTAATTAATATTACATCATGTTGTTAGATAATTTTGTCAAATTTTCTTTTGAGATTTAACCAAGTTTGTACGTAATGAAGAATTAAACAAATTAGTGTTGCTGAACTCTCTATTTTCTTTTTATAAAAAATATAGCCCTATTTTTTTATATACTATTGATATGTTTTGGCAGCTTTAACTATATTGATTATTGATATTTTTATTTTGCTGAAGTACGCTTGATATTTATATTGAAATTGTTATTTTACTTGCTTATACTTCCAATTTTAATTCTGCCTGTTATAAAGATCAGTTATTTACATTATTATGATATTAGTCAATTATTATAAGAGATTATATATTTTATTGCAAAATGATTATTATTGTGTGATTTTATATATTTGGTATAATATGTGCAGTATATTTTTATAATAATATGTAAAAACCTATGTAAATAAATTTTGGATACTTTCCTAGTAAATATTTATAAATATTGAATTTTTGTTGTTATTTTATTAGAAAATTCCTGTCAATGTACTTGATGTGTGAAAAATTTGATAACACCTATTTTTTTGGCTTCCATCGACCTATTGATATGCGGTTTGTGGCAATAGACGCTACCAACTGAGCTCATTAATATGATTTACTCCTCAACGCATGCTTTCCTTCAATATTTCCATGACAACCTCCACAGTCCATCCTTCCTCCACGGGCCATCTTTCCAATGAATGTGTGTGATGGACTTTGCATGGAAAAAGTTAAAATAGCCAAAAAACACTATACAAAGTTTACATATTCTATTTGCAATGGTTTGTAAAATAAAAGGTTTTTCCAATTTCTATAAACAAACACACTTCAGTAACAGATGTTTCAGTTAATCATAGTGTTTTGTGGGGGGGGGGGATGTTTTGGGGTATACCAATTATAACAATTTAAAAATCGGCCAATCATAATTTATTTACCGTTAACCATTATGAACTCCCATTTTCAACCTTATTAGGCTGGATGAATCTTGTCACAAATAACTTGGGGTTTACAGTGTGTAATTAAGTATTGAAACAAATCTGTATTTTTTAAACCGAAATAGAGAGAAATATTCTGTTTGTGGCATTCATATTTAACAAAGGATCCACAATTTTTTACATCAAAAATATTGTTAACCCCCCCCCCCCCCCAACAGGGTAGTGGGTAAGGGGTAACTTATTTTTTCAAATAGCAACCCCTATTGAGTGACCCCTCATTTCAAAGGGTTTGTCAAAAGAAACAATGACGCAAACCTGAGGTGGATATCTCACCCCCTAGCCAAAATGGCATGTATTTTGCAAAATTTGAGTTATGTGAAAAAGCACCAATTTCACAAATATGGAAACAAATCTTTATTTTTTTATAAGCAATGGTGCAAACCTGTCGATATGTCACCCCAAGCCAAAATGGCAGGCATTTAAAAATTTGATTGGGTGAAATAATGGAATAAAATTTGAAAAGACATTTTATAAAAATTATAGGAGTTCATAAGTAAAAGAGGTAATAGCTGAAACAGGAAATAGGAATTTTATAAATAATTTAAGTAGCTCTGTTCAACAATCCGTGGGATCTAGTTTAGATCTGCAATGCTTGTGACAGAGACCATTATTGTAAGTGCAGTAGACCACTAGGTTTGAGGTACAATACATGAGGAGTTCACCTGTGTATGGTAATGCTTTGTGGGAGGCGAACTCACAGTAAATGGTTGAGGGCTCAAGTGTTTGTCAGGGATGGGTGAATTCTTTCTGAATTGCATAAGATATTTTGCTAATTATTACTTATTTATTTTGTATATTCGCCTAAAACTTGTTTCGGCTTATTTGTTCATAAAAATTTCACAGTTTAATCAATAAATAAAGAATGATGTACAATGTACCTACTCATCCCAAAGAATTAGGTACAGATTTTTATACTTAAAAAAATAAAAAATAATTTCAAATATAAATTTTTATTGCATAAAACAACACAAAATATATAATTTTCTACACGATACTTAACTAAAAGCATCATTCACAAATGGAATATTTTGTACACTTTACAAACAAATGTTTAAACACCTAAGTATTCAGGAATCATTTAAAACAAAAGTGTGTGATCTAAATAAATACAACTTAACAGTCCTAAATGCTATACACTCTCTTAACTAACAGTACATTTTAAAGTGTAAATAATATATAAATATTCAGCCTAATCCCTATTGCCTTAGCTTAATACAATACAGATTTCTCTCAAGCACACTACCTAGAATAACATTACAATGGAGTAAATAACATAAAACATGTGAAGGAGGCAGAAATGCTGAAAATCTGATTATTTCACCAACAATCAAATTAAAAAATTTGCAGCACACATCTATAAAACTTGTATATAATTATGTCACTTTCCATTGAGTTATTCTAGGTAATGTGGTACAAACCATCTTATTAAAATACAACTTAAATATAAAGGATTAGCACATGTTCCTGTACAATAAAATTTTGATCATTTGATCATATGCAAGGGTCAGTTTTCAAATTAAACTAAAAGTTCTAAAGTCAACCTATATAAATAAAATTCAAAAATGAAGTTGGGATATCATCATGATTAAAAATAGGCTGGAGCAAACATCATAGAAATGCGGCTCTTTTATACATTCATCAATTAATGATTTTGTCAAACCAGAATCAACAATATTTAGTAGAAATTGATAAAAGGATGAAACATTTTTAGGATAACTGTTTATACTTTGACAGTGCAAATCATGCATCAATTCTCAATTGACAAAGTTGATTAAAGCTTACAAGTCAAAATTACAACATAACCACTTCAATGTTTAATAAAAATAAAACCTATAACAAAAAAGACAAGTCCTAAAATCCTAATTACCACAGATCTAAATTCAGTCCAAAGAAACTATGAATATAATTAGATGTGGCGTTAAACAAATTATTCCAAAGATGGTAACCTCAACATTGTGCTATTAATTTCAATTCGTTAGACATTGTAAGAATCATAAGTGAGCCTTAGCAGTCTCTCAGAGTCACTAAACTTAAAAATTTGATACAACTGTTAAGTTAAACTTATATTGCTGAACTGCCGAATCAAATCTAAATCTTGAACATTGTTTCTAGATCCTCAGGGAACATCAAATACATAACAATTATAATATCACAACCAAGAACCAAGATGTACAGCAAGATTTTAACTGTGATGTATTAACAAATATGACTTTGGGTGAAAGTGTTAGGTATTTACAAGAAGTGGTGAGGTAGCATAGCAGACAGAGAAAGTTAGTAGAAGAAAAGGAGCCGTTCTTGAGCTGAGCCAGACAACAACCTCCAGCCTCGCTTGATGTTTAGATACTGTATGATGGCACGGACACAGATCAGCAGTCCTGGAACCAACACATACAAGTTATAGTGAGGTAGCATAGCAGACAGAGAAGGTTAGTAGAAGAAAAGGAGCCGTTCTTGAGCTGAGCCAGACAACAACCTCCAGCCTCGCTTGATGTTTAGATACTGTATGATGGCACGGACACAGATCAATAGTCCTGGAACCAACACATACAAGTTATAGTAGGGTAGCATAGCAGACAGAGAAGGTTAGTAGAAGAAAAGGAGCCGTTCTTGAGCTGAGCTATAATGGAAAACAAGGTTTACTTATCATTTTACACAGCAGAATTGTAGGTAGTAGGCTAATTTAAAAAAAAATTAAAATTCTATAAACTTATAATGTACCTAATGTCAAAATTTTGTATATTGGGTTCATCTATGTAATGTTAGTTTTTACACCATGTTTACCATTAAGCAATTATTAGTGTCTCGGTAATATGATGTCTATAAAATATTTAGTTTAAAACAAAACAATATTTCATATTTTTTCTACTTTAACTAATGTCAATTCACCCCTGTCAAGTTAATCCTTTGATTAACCAAAGTGAAGTCAAGAAAGAAGAAATATCATAATGTAATTTATTCCTGTGTTTTTTAAACATAAATTTGTTTACGTCATTGATATTTTTTTACATTTTTGTACGGGAATGGAGAGAACCCAGGTCTTTTTACTATTGAACAATGGTTATGTATTTATTGGTTATGAACATGGTTATATATTTGGTTAGATGGTATCATTAATTGATGGTCATATGAAAAAACGGCCGAATGGTATTGTGAATCGCATTCCCCATCCTGTTACCACACTCTCTAAAGCTTTAAAGATCCAAAATTACAGGTAAATCTCTTTAGATAGTGAAACTATAATCATTGTGAATGGTATGTGTGCAGCTTACCAAATGTCATGACAAGCCACCAGAGCCAGCTGTTCTCATGAGAAGCAAGGTCTGTGGACTGTTTGACTATGAGAGTCCACTTAGCGAGAGACAGGCCAAACCCAGACAGGGCTCCATAGCGAGCTGCTACTGTGTGGCAGAAGCACATCAGCAGGAGAAATCCGATCCAGTTAAACAGGAATGCCACTATGAAACACAATCAGAACATATAGTTTCCATAATGGAAAACTACTTTTACTTATAAAGAAATATGAAATAAAAAACTACTTTCCTTATAGGCCTACTTATCCTACTATAATATTATAAATGAGAAAGTTTGGATGTATGGATGTATGGATGTATGTTTGTGACAAGTGAACGCGAAAAATACTGGTCAGATTGGGCTGAAATTTGGCATGATGATAGCTCACATTCCCGATTAACATATAGGCATATTCTTATTTCAAAAATCCTTTCGGGCTCCGCCCCAGTGGCTCTGGAGTTTCCCATGTTAACCTAATGAGAAATGGAATTATTGAATCTTAACAGCTGTTTCAACTAAACAAGTTGGTTCTGTTCTATGATGTTCAATAGCATTAAAGTTACAAGGATTACCAACAGGGTGCAGCACTATTATTTCTTTTACATTTATGACAACAGCTAATTTGCAACTAAAAGGTGAGTGAGCGTAGCGAACGAACTTCAACCTGGAGGCGAGTTAGCGTAGCGAACGAGCTAACCTGAAGGCAAGTGAGCGCAGCGAACGAGCTCCAACCTAAAGGTGAGTGAGCGTAGCGAAAAAACTTAAACCAGGACGTGATTGAGCCATGCGAACGAGATAATCTTGAAAATTAAGAAGTTAAACGGGGCAAAGCCCGCGGGTTACAGCTAGTACTAAAATAAAACTTACTTACTCTACGTTAGAAAAATTTTAATTTTTAAAAGCTACAAATTATAAGCATACCGGTAAGTCCTAATCAAGTCAGTTGCAAAACCTCAGCCAAGATAGAAAAGAATATAAATATTCTATCTGGACTCTTCGAGTTTAAAATTTAAAACAGACTTTAAAAATCTCTTTAACTCTTAGTGTGCACACTCATTTGCCAAAAAGGCAGTAAATATTTGGATGTTCGCAGAGAAGTCTAGTGACAAATCTGATAAGCAGAACTCAAGCATCAGCCTCCCAAGACAAACTAGCTAGATAGATACCCTACTTTATTGGAAAAGTAAGTAGGCTATTTGGTGCAGTGACTTCCTGAAGGTGTTTGTTGTAAGCTAATTCATTAAAATATATCTACACTGCGGGGACTTTTGTTTATTCTTTCCTACTAAGAATTGTGAGACTATCATCCATTTACCATTTTTCTGTAAAAAATTATTTAAAGGAAATGAAGACATTGTAATAGGCCTACTTAGCAGTACTAGTACTTACCAAAAAATGCCAAAGAGAACATGAAATCGGTACCGAGGAGACTGTTTTCCCCGTCTGACTCGACTGTGTCTGTGTCAATGGCAAGGAAGGCCAGGGTCTGAGGTCTGTGAGCTGCACTACTCTGTAAACAAACCCAACAGTAAAATTTAATTTAAATACAGCAAAACCTCGATTGACCAGGATAATTGAAGTGAGGGATACCACCGAAGAAGCAAATTATAGACAACTTCAGAAGAAGATCAAGTATGAAAATGGCCTTGGTTGAGTAATGTTCAAAATAGATATTGGAGGTTTTAGCGACGATAATTTTCATGAAATGCCTAGTCAGTCATTAGTTTTAAACCTTAATTTGAACAAAACATTGGCTGAGGGATTGGTTTTTATTTATTTCTAATAAACTGTTTTTCACCATACTGCAGCAAAAACGACCATTTTTAATGCATGCGTTACGGGTCTTAAGGAGCATTTTTACTCTCTAGGGAGTAAAAAGCGTTTAATAATAATAATATTACTTTATTGTCACATACACAAGAATACATTCCAAGTTTCTAGCGCAGCTAGAGGAACAGGTGACATTGTCAAATATGCATAATATAAGTTAAAACAAAGAAAACATTCCATAAATTAAAATAGTATTAAAGTAAAATTAACTATAAACTGAGTTATTGCCCAAAGTGTGCACCAATATTATTGTCATCCAGAAATTCAGATACAGAATAGAAGGTTTTTTATATTAAATACAGTTTAAGGTCATTTTTGAATTTAGTTATGCAGCTAATATTTTTGAATCTATTTGGTAGACTATTGTAAAGCCTCAAACTCATATAGTAGGGTGACTTTTCGTACAGACAAAGCCGATGCCTTGGATACTGCAGGTTATCTTTGAAACGTGTGGGGTAGTGATGAACAAACTGCTTACTTACATATTTGTGAAAATTACTTTTTAAATTTACTAGAGTTTTGAAAATAAACAGTGAAGGCATTGTCAAGACTTCATATTTTTTAAATAGTGGCTTACATGATGTTCTTTTAGATTTAAAAGATAGAATTTTTAAGAAACGTTTTTGGATTTTAAATATTTTACTTGCGTGGGAAGTGGAACCCCACAGCTCAATACCATATTGCAAATGAGAGAAAAACATGGCATAATATACCATAATTTTAGTTTTGGTATCTATTATATTTCGCAACACATAAATTTGGAAACAAGCAGTGTTTAATTTTTTTGTAAGCATATCAATGTGCGGTTTCCATGACAGGTTTTCATCAATATGTAAGCCAAGAAATTTTGTACTTTTTACAAAAGATAAAATATCACCATTAAAAATCAAATCAAATGTATAAATATTTTTATTTTGAGCGGGCTGAAATTTTAAAATTTGTGTTTTTGAACTATTAAGTTTCAATCCATTCACATTAAACCAGTTGGATAGCTCTAGAAGTGAACGATCTAGCTCTACTTTCAAATTATTAGAATTGTTAGCCTTAACTATCGCTGTAGTGTCATCAGCATATTGAATGAGGTTAGAAGAAACGTTTTTGGGCAAATCATTTACAAATATAAAAAATAATAAAGGTCCTAGAATTGACCCCTGAGGGACACCATATTTAATTTTACCCCATGTTGAGGAAAATGTTTTACCATTTTTCTTTATAATTGTTCTTTGATACCTATTGCTTAAGTAAGATTCCAAGATCACCAAGACAATGACTTAGCAGAAAATTTGTAGTATCTAAGTTTTGTCAACAGAATATCATAATCTACAGAATCAAAGGCCTTGGAAAGGTCACAGAATACAGCCGCTGTACTCTGCGACCCATCCAAACCCTCCGACACCTGATTTATGAAATCAGAGATAGCAGATATTGTGCTCATTCCAGATCTAAAACCAAACTGTTGGTCAGCAAATAGTTTGCTAGCATCAAAAAAAGAATAAATTTGATTGTATGCAATTTTTTCAAAGATTTTAGAGATGTTGGGTAGTATTGATATTGGGCGGTAGTTATCGGGGTTTTCCACTAATCCCTTTTTGAAAAGAGGCTTCAATTCAGCATATTTCATTTGATTGGGGAATATGCCTTCATAAAAACATTTATTTATAATTATGCAAATAGGACGTGCAATGAAAGTAGCTACCCTTTTGATAATAGGGTACCGTTTTTAGCCCCTAGGGAGAAAAAACCAGCTGTTGTCAATTCAGTTGTAAATTTCAATTGTATTGTTGCATGTATCGAAAGTATACATCGATTGTTTAATTGATTGTAGTTAATTGTTGCCCTATTGTTAATAGTTCGACATATAGATAGTATAATGTAAACTAATCGTAATAGACAAAACGATTCAATCATTTACTAAAGAGCTGCTTGTTTCCATTAGCAAATTAAATTGTAAACAAGCTAGAGGTAGTTTCCAGTGGTTATTTTTGAATGAAAACTATTTCAGTTTTATAACATAGTTTGTTCAAATAATGCTGCAACATGACAAAAAATATAGTTCATCACACGGGCAAAAAGTGTCTTTTCAACCCTAGCTAATTTTTGGACCTCGGCTTCGCCTCTATCGTAAAACTTGAGCTCTGGTCAAAAAGAGTCACTTTAGGCCCTAGTGATGAGATTTACTATTGTTTCATAGCTTATTTAGCCTATAATAGTCATGTGTTTTAATTGTTTTATGAATATAATCAAGTTTATTTTTTGTTTTGCTTTGTGAAGAAAACAAGCTCATTTAACTGTGTTGTAAAAAGTTGCAATAAATAAATCATTTAGTTTTGTCATTGACTAAATTTCATTATTTTTAAATCCCTTCTGATATCACAAATTGTGAATGGCGCATTGTGACGAGAACGTAAAGAACCCATAAAAAACAACATACAGTAGAACCTTCTATTATCAGGGGTCTTTTAGAGGAGGGAGACCATGGTTAACTAATAACCACAGTTAATCCAACATGGCATTAACATATAAAAACAAACCTATAAAAAAACCGAATACTGTATGGACATTAATAAAAAAAAACTTCTAGTTAGCCTAAGGTAAGTTGCCAAATGCCATGACTTGCCCAAATACCGTGATTCCCTGCTTTAAACATAAATAATAAGCAGACGACTGAAGGTACAACACATAGATAAACAATAGCTTGCTCTATGTGTCTTTAAGTTTATTACTCTATGGTTCGGTCGTAGCCGGCGCCAAGCAGTCTGTGACAGTAGCGTCTGAAATTGTGACCAGTTCGAATGTCGCCGATTCTTAACGTCTGTTGAGCTTCAAGATAGTGATTCAGGTAAGCAAAATAGGATTTAATTCATCAAGTATGACAGCTGTATGAATAATTTTGGTGTTATTTCATAGAGTTATAATAGTATTTAGTTCTTATGCATTCATTTAGTTGATTTTTCAATTTAGTAAAGGTTAAATTAGGATCACGTTACTTAGCAGAAATATACAGCATCAATATAAACTCTGTGAATTAACAGGAGTGTTTCAATTGTGTTAAATAGTAGAAATAGTTATACGGAGTTTTTTATTCAACCACGAATACTAGAATTCAACAAAATGTGCACCTAACAAACCTTAATTGTGTTGTGTGGTTCGGTTAATTTGTAACTAAACTTTGAATATATTTAAATATTGTTATTTAGAGCTAAAAATACAACGTATTATATGCGTGAGTTTTTTGATTGGTTTCAATTCAAATGTATATAACTGCGTGTACAAGACTATCATGAATACTTTATTATGTCACTGTTTTTATCTCCTACAAAGTTGTGTTTCTTTTTTTATAGAATGCCTACTCCGAAAGCGCCCAGAAGAGCTTACTCCCAGGAGACTTTGGAAGCGGCCATCGCAGCAGTGCAAGATGGGATGACGGTGTCTGCTGCTTCAAAGCAGTTCTGCATTCCCAGGCAGACTTTGAAAGATAAGATCAGTGGAAAGTATGCCACTTTGTGCAAGATAAGACGTCCGTCTATTTCGACTCCCGAAGAAGAGCAGACTATCTTAGACTGGGTGATCACGATTGGTTTCCCTATCAGCAAAGATCAGCTTCTCACCAGCGTCCAGAAATTGATGAAGAATTTGAATCGAGAAAATCCCTTTTCCGAGAGCGCTCCTGGAGATAAATGGTTGGCTCTATTCACACAAAGACATCCTGAAATTTCAGCCAGAGTGTCACAAGCCCTTACAACCACCAGGACAAATGTCACAGAGGGACACATCAGGAAATGGTTTTCTGAAATAAGGGAATACCTAGAAGGTAAGAACCAAATGACTATCTTCGATGACCCCAGGAGGGTGTTCAACTGTGATGAAATTGCCTACTTTCTATGCCCTAAAGGCAAACTATTATACGTCAGGAAAGGTCAGAAGCAGGTATACACAATCACAGGAAATGAAGAAAAGGAATGCCTCACAGTACTTCTCAGAGCAAATGCCTCAGGTGACTAGGCACCACCAATGATCGTATACTCAAAAAGAAAGAGTCCCATCAAGTATTGTCCAGCAGGTACCAAGCACCTGGGGTATCAGTAAATCAGAAAATGGTTGGATGACAAGAGAAACATTTTTTTCAAATTCATCACCAATATCTTCCACCCTTGGTTGCTGTCGAATCAAATTCCCAGACCTGTCATCCTGTTCTTTGGACACACCTCCCACCTTACCCTTCATCTGAGCGAGTTCTGCTCAGAGAATGGGATTGAGCTCATTTCTCTCTACCCTAACTCGACTCATATTCTCCAGCTGATGGACGTGTCTGTCTTCCATCCGCTCAAGTTGGGGTGGAAAAAGACCAGGGAGCAATAGCGGTTGGAGACAGGCGCATCAAAAATCAAAAAAGAAGAATTTGCTCCTCTATTAGACAAATGTCTTAAATAAGGCGTCAACAAGAAGACTATAACCAGTCGCTTCACCACTACTGGCCTTTCAACTCATAATCCTGATGACATCGACTTCAAGAAGCTTGTGCAGAACAACCTTAGTGGCATACAACAAAAACCAAACAGTCAAAGCCAATGACTAATGTTGCGTAGCCACCTGACGGATATTGAGGGCAAAATTGGGAAGGAGAGGCTAAAGACATTCCAAGAAAACAACATCAATATGGAAGACAAATCTCTCTCCATGGAGTGTGGCTATACATAAAAAAGAAGTCTCCCTCTACAAAGAAGGACTTGATAGAATGCCCAATAAACAGGCGATCTGAGGTGAATCCACATGGTGTAGAAGATGTAGAAGAAGAAGAAGAAGCGGTTGAGGCATATGTAATTGCCGATGGGTCGAAAGTGGCTGTTAACTTTCTTGCGGATGAAGATATAAGCTTCCCTATCGAACTGGAAGTGCCAGTAATTACAGTCCAAAGCAAGTACACAGAAAACATAAATTCTACATCCAAAAACCCACTTTTAGGACAGTCAACAAACCCTGGCTTGTATCTAAACCCCCAATTATCATGTTCACTCCTTGGTCCAACAACCTGTTCCCCGACTGATATTCCCTCTCCCCTATCATTCAACCTATCCAACATATCTAATCAATCGTTTCTATTAAACCTAAGCTCGCCACCTGCCAAATTCCCACAGACTCCTAACTTGCAGTGTGACCAAAACTCCATAATGATCCCCCCGGAAACATCGAATCAATCCTCACCCAAAACAACGACCTTGACCCCGCAAAATATGAAGGCAAAAATGATGACACCATTTAAAGACGCGTTTTACTGGCCAGAGCAGAAACCCCCAAAATCGACTACAATAAAGAAAAAACTCAAATTTCTAAGTGCAGCACCAGAAGAGTAGAAAAATTTCTACTTGAAAAAAGAAAAAGATAAGATGAGAACCAAGAAGGAGAAAGAAGAAAGGAAACGATTGCGGGAAGGTAGGCAGAAAGAAAGAAAAGTAAAGGAAGAATTGAAGGCGAAAAAAAAGAGAAGATCCCGTAACGAATCTGAAGAAGACGACGACGTCGTAGAAGATTTAGGAGTACAAGCCCTAGAAGATGAAGAATCTCCCATTGAAGAAACACCTCTACCACTTGATTTGAACAGTCTCTGCCAAAGCCAGTGGGTAGTCGTCCCATATACAAATAACGACGAAACAAAACATTTTGTGGGGCAAATTTTGTCCATAAACAGTAAAGACAGTGCAAAAAGTGTGACCTTCAAATTCTTAAAAAAAAAATCCATGAACACAAATTTAAGTGGCTTATCTATCAATGACGATGTGTACAATGTGCCCCAATCAATGAAATTGTTCGTATCTTGAGAGAACCAAATTTGGACTGATGGGGCTACTTGACTTAAACTGACTTCACTTCATTTTAAGTTTTTTTTTTTTGCCATCTTCGTGATATTTATTCCCTTGAATGCCCAATTAATCCTTTGTTTATTTCTAGTCCCATTGTCTTGTTGCTCTGTTTTATGCATGTGAATTATCATTTAGGTGCACAGTTAATTTGTACCTTTATATATTTCTAGCCGCTTTATGTATTTTGTGATTTGTTGCTATGTTTTAAGCATGTAAATTAATGATCTTTTAGGTGTTATTGTATTGTTTTCATTCGTAGGCTAAAGCAGCCGGTGCCATCACTTGGTTTGTTTAAACTTTTGTAACAAACGTGGGCATGTAAGTTACAAACTAATCTAATTTTCGTTCTTTTGTTCATGTGTAATTTTTTGTCATTTAGTTAGTTTAAAATTAAGTACAGCATGTGGTTATGTAAATATTAATCCAACTATCTATGTAAACTACTTTATTTTGTTTCTGTCCTTGTTTATTCATGTTTTGTGTAAACAATTTCTTACACATAAAGCTAACGTAAGCTCTCTTCTCTGTGTACTTATTTCCTTTCTCTATGTAATGTATGCAGTAGCATTCTGCTGTGTGATGTGCTCCAGCAGACTAAATTGAAGGTTTGTTTGAAGATTGTTTAGTTACTTTTTAGTCATAAAACAGCTGTCAAACACAATTTGTTGGTAAGTATTACTACATCACAGAATTTGGCCAGAAAATCACGATATTAATTCCGCGATTCACGGAGTTAGGCCATGATGATAAAATGAGGACTACGGGTATTTTAAATAACCTGTTTTTAGTATTCATTCACACATATCTACATTGTTTTGTTCAGGAATTCACAGGGGGGAAATCGATATAAAATTATTATCGATGGTTTTTTTTTATGGCAAAATTTTACTTTTTGATCCGATATAGGCCTATTGATATTAACAAATTAAAACATATCACCTGACAACTACGATAAATAAATAAATTATTGCTCAGTAACAACACAAACAATTAAAAAAAATATTATTGAAATGAAACTGTTCTAAGCTAATCCAACCTAACTAACCAAACTTGCGGTAACATTTCAAATTTCCATTGATATTCTCCACATTCCTTTTCTGTTATCAAACAGAATTTTTAAATGGTACAGCAAGTTTGGTTAGTTATGTTAGGTTGGTTTAGAACAGTTTGATTTCTTAATCCTAACTTTTTTGCCTAAACAATAACAGTTAGTTGTCAATTTGTAATTTAAATGTGTTAGACAATATTAGAACAGAAGGAATATGGATCGTAAAGAACCTCCAAATAAAAATACCTCACCAATAGACCATATTACAACATCAATGAGTACTTAGAAGAACATTCATACACACACATACGCCAGCTCACTTTGTGAAAATATAGCGAAAACCCGTCCAGACGGAAGAACCATGACGATTCCCCAATCTCGGGATTGTGGTGAAGACATCGAAGGTAAAATTTAAAGGAAAACAAAAATAATATCAATTGAAGAAAAAAAACCATCGATAATAAGGAATGTTGTATGATGTTATTTATTATCTTATTAGTATTATTTATTGTTATTACAGTTGTTTACTATTGTATTGATTATTGTTATTGTTTATTTATATTTAATATCTTGAGCAAATGAATGCATATTTAAATTATTGTAAAATGGTTATACCGTAAATGAATAAATAAATAAATGTTCCCTTTAACAGAAAAGTACCCCCGTGGTAGTCTAGCGGGACTCCAAAATATCAGACATTTGAAGTACTGATCAATATTAAGAATAGGCCTAGTTAGGACCCTTATCAACAAAACGTTAAGTTAGAGAATTATAGTTACCCTCGGCAATGGAAGTTCCCCTTGAAGAGTCTTTTCACGTTGAACTTCTTCATATGTTGGCAACTTTGTTGCCAAGTCATAAGGAGGTGGAGCAGAAAAATCTGCTTTTGGTGGCGGAATGTCATCTTCAACCTGCAAACATTTTTAAAATTAGTCTATAACTCCTTAAGGTTCAATAATTACAACGACCACTCGGCACAGGCATAGTTTAAATTAAGTTATTTTGTAAAATCCTTGACAAATAACTTAGTGTGAACTTATGTTTACTGCATCTGTCATGTGCAAGAGAAACAACTGGGAGCATTAAGAGTAAAGATTCCCATAATTTAAAGAATCCTTATACAGTATATAATACGTGAAGGCGATTTCTACTAAACACTACTCCTCCGTTAATAATGGACGGATATTTACAAACGAGGTGTCAAAATTAGGCCTAAGTATTTGCTGTGTAGATCCCCCCTTTCAACATTTCCTGCAATAAAAGTCCTCAGGCTGTGCCCCACAGGCCATTAAAATCCCAATGTATTTCTTATGAAGGAAAGATTTTGTTTACTTAAACAGATTAATGATTTGTATTAATTGCAGCTGTTCATAATACTAACAAGAAACAAGAGCGTTCGTTTTCAGAGTGAGTAAGTTTTTAACTTTAATAACTGGAGTGGAGTGAGCATTGGTTTTTAGAGTGAGTTCATTTTCAGTTTCGATAACTAGAGTGGAGTGATTGACAACATTATCTTTGAGTAGACTTTTTTAAGTCATCGGAAATTATGACTGTTATTGGTTTTGACGCCTGTAATACTTAGCAATTGCTCGAATTCGAGCAACAGGTGCACTAGTCAGTTTATAACATTTAAATTGAGTCAAATATTCATAAAAATAGGTCTGTAATTTAATGTTTAACCTGCGCAGAATAGTGTAGACTACAGGATTACTGGTGATTACAGGAGGGTTTGATTTTAATTTCTAAAAAAACTATAGGCTAACTAAACATTTAGATTTAAAATGTAGGCCTACCAATTTAATAAAACAGTTGACAAAACTTGTATCATACCATTGACACTTGATGAGGAGAACACATAGACATCTGGAAGGTTGGAGGATCAATGCGCAGAGAGTGAACTGGAGGAGCTTCAGGTGGCAAGACTACCGTTAGGTTCACACTGTTGTTCATCTCCGGTTGCGGAGCCTGCTGACGTTACATTCATAAGTTAAGTTACCTCAGATTATCTTTCACTACAATGGTAAAGCGACCTCTCAATCAGAATTTAATGTGTAACTGGGCAAAATCTGTCAAGTTAGGCAACTAGTTTCAATTCACCAAAATAAGGTTAAAAAAACAGCATCACGTACAAAAATACACAGCTCATTCACTAATGATTTTCTAAGGATCTAACTAACTTGTTGTTTGATACATTTATTGTAGAAATGGTACTTAGGCTAAATTAAGGCAATTGCAAAGGCCACGTAAAATGCCTTCTGGGCTATGACAGACGGACAGAAATTGAGATAAGGGGTACAGTTTCTTAACTGGGCTATGCTAATATCGATTGAAACTATCAAATTGAAAATATCGTTTGAAGGCCACTTAGGAATCCCTCCGACAAAAACTGATTGCATTTTTGGATTCAACTTGAAAAATACTGTAAGTAGACATCTAAAAATTACACGATATCGCATTGTAGAAATATCAAATAATTACCATTTTCAATTTGATAGTTTCAATCGATATTAGCATAGCCCAGTTAAGAAACTGTACCCCTTAACTCAATTTCTGTCCGTCTGTCACAGCCCAGAAGGCATTTTACGTGGCCTTCTCCTGAAAAACGAGAGCATCGATCGAGATTTAAACTATTTACAGCAGTATTGAAAACATTTTCGACAATGTCTTAGCTACCGGTATTAAAAACTAAATTAACTTATTTTTTTACAGAATAAGTAATAAACGAATACCCTACTTAAAAACCCAATATTAGCTTTTAAGATCTTATTTCATAGTTTCCAGTGTTCCAACATTTTTTTTTAGTTTGCACAGTTATGAAGAAAATTTTTAGAAAAGTTTGGATGGTGGTGCTCTTTTGTCTTAACAAAAAATTAAGAGGTAGGCCTAAGTAATTTTTTTTTTGTTTTTGTTACTTAAAAAGAGGTTTTGAATAAATTGTTGTTCAATTATCGGGTGTATTTTTTATCGAAGTTTATTTTAACATTTTATTTTACCTTCCCATTTCTAGGTTATGCTAGTGTCAATGACTAAACTACAGCATGGTCAAAAATTTTACTGAACACAGAGGATACGCGTCCGGTAACCAGACGTGGATTAGGCGTCCGGTAACCAGACGTGGATTAGGCGTCCGGAAGAAGGTCCCGGAACGCCATTACCACAATGATACGATGTTCAGCCATCAGTGTTCGTGGTGTAGTGGATAGAGTGCTCGACTGATATGCGAGAGGTCCCCGGTTCGAAACCCATTGGTAACTTTAACTTTTTGTCACAGATTTTGCTTTGAATGTAATTTTTTCTTAACTGTACATCTTTTGTTAGAATTTTTGGCATTTATAATTTTATGTTATGAAGAGAATTGAACATTCATTTGATTTTTTTCACTATCAGCAAGTTTGGTTGGTTAGGTTAGGTTATGACAGTAACTGCCGGACGCCTAATCCACGTCCGGTTACCGGACGCGTATCCTCTGCGTTTAGTGAATGACACTTATTGTCATACACTAAATATTTAAAAAACTAGTCTATGACACAACTCTATGAGTAAAAAGGAATTAACCACCTAGGCCTAGGGAACTCTTGGATAATAGTTTTCACTGGTAGGCTAGTTTAATTTAACTGTTAACTGTTGATTTTAATTATAAAAATTGAGAAACTGTCTAGGCTACAAATAATTCTTCTCTATTTTTCAGATGGCGCCAAATAAGCCTATACCAAAGAAGCCGGTCAAGAAGACAAAATTTAGTTAGCCTATACTCATGAGCAGTAACTGAAGGCTTTAGAAGCATATAAGAACGGTGAAAATGTTTTCCAAGTAAGCAAAAAGTATGGGGTACCCCGGTCAACACTGATAGGCAAAGCTTCAGGAAAATTGCCTTTGAATGAAGAGAGGAAGTTAGGACCTGCTCCTAAACTAGGGTTTGAGGCAGAATAAATGTTAAAAAATTGGGTAATGGGGTTGGCTACCAAAGGCTTCCCGATAACAAAAAAAGATTTAATAACCTTAGTGCAGCAAATACTGAAAGATATGGATGCTCTAGACAAGTTTCCAGGGGGTAGGCCTGGAGATACTTGGTTAAAATTGTTTTTTAAAAAGAAAACCCCAAATAGCCGAGAGAACTGTAGAAAAATTAAGTTCAATTCGAGCCAATCTCACAGAAGGCAACATTAAGAGATGGTTTGCTGAAATTAGGTCATATCTAGAAGAAAATAACCTTTTCCAAGGAATCACTGATCCTGCTCGTGTTTACAATATGGACGAAACAGCCTTTTTTTTCTTTGTCCAAAAAGTTATCGTGTCCTGGGCATCAAAGGGCAGAAGAATGTTTATGAAGTGAGCTCAGCAAGTGATAAGGAAAATCTCACTGTTCTAGCCAATGTAAACGCAGCAGGGCAAGTCGCCCCAACGTTGATTGTTTATCCAGGTCAAAGACTGCCTCAGGCTTTGAAATTGAACATGCCGGATGAATGGATTATTGCCAAATCGGAATCCGGGTGGATAACAAGCGAGGTATATTATGAATATTTTACAAATTAGGTACTTTTATAAGTGGTTGATTGACTCAAATCAAGTTTCCAGTGATTGTATTTGTTGATGGCCACAAATCACACATCACATACCATCTGAGTAAGTTTTGTTCTGCTAACAACATTGTGTTAATAGCGCTGTTGCCAAACTGTACACATATAATGCAACCACTGGATGTTGCTGTGTTTCGTCCAGTTAAGAAAGGTTGGCAAGAGGCTGTACACTCGTGGCAGATGACCAATGGAGGGGATTGGTTAACAAAATACAACTTTGTGCCCATGCTCAAAACTGTCTTTGATAATAGGTACAATGGTTCAAGATACCATCAAGAATGGTTTTGTTCGTTGTGGTCTTTGTCCATTTGATCAAGAAGCAGTGGACTACAGTAAAGTCGATATTTTAAACAAAACAATGCATTCAGAACAAGCCTACTCATTCAGTGGGGAAGGAATGTTTGACATTCTTTGAATCGTTTATTTCCCCAGATCTTATTTCTAAGTTTCAAACCACTTACAATAAGTTCACATCTATCTGGAATGGAGATGAATGTAGCCATGATTTATATGTGGCATGGAAAAAAGCCAACGACTATATCAGATCTCAAAAGAAAAAATTGAAGAACAAGTCAAAATCAAACAATTCTGCAGAAGATAATGACTCTGAAGAAATCTTATCAGCCTAGCGTAACTGAAGACCCAGCAAATCTTGACGAGCTTGAGAACCCCACGATTGATGCTGAAGAGCATGAAATAGTTAGCCAACAAAAAGAAGGTGAAACACCTTGTAAGGCTACTACTTCTATGGCAGAGCAAAGTACTAGTGGCTCCACTCTATCTAAAGAGAAACTGGCTAAGGTGCTATCACCTCAAACAGGGGGAGCAGATGTTCCATCACCTTTCAAGAACAACCTGTTTTGGCCTGGTACCCCCCAAAAGTGTAAGAAGAAATCCAGGACAACAAATTAGGCTACCATAAGTTGTGAACAGTAAAGAATGGTTGTACTATGAGGAAAAGAAAAGAGCTGAAAAGAAGCAAGAAGAAGACAAGAAAGCTGAGAGAAGAAGGATTAGAGAAGAAAAGAAAAAAACAGCCCAAAAGAAAAGTAAAGAGTGTAAAAGAAAACTGGTTCAGGATGAAGATGACGATTGGATTTGCCAAGTGTGCAAGAAAAGATTTTCTGCGGAATTAATCATTGGACTGGGTAGAAACGAGGATAAATTGTGACACTTGCAAAAATGCTTACCATTACAAGTGTATTCCTAAAAAAAAACACCGTGATACCTTTGGAATAGAAGAAGAGGATGACGACGATGATGAACTGGCATTTATAGGCCTATGTCACAAACGTGAGCCTGATAGTGAAAACGACCTGTTTGTGTTATCTGAACCTGAAGAAGACTTGGATTAAACTTAAAATGCCATTTTAGGCTTAAGTTAAGCTAACTGACTGCCAAATTAGGCCTACATTTCATTCATTGCCATACACTAAACACAATAAAAGGTTAGTGTCATACACTAGATTGACCAGTATCACATTAAGAAATATAGTGTCATTCACTAGACAACTGACATACAACCATATTATTATTTTTTTTTTGTGATAACTTAAGTGGATGTAAAAAGTATTATGCATAGCCTAATATCCAATTAAAGCTAACTAAACAATAAAACCAATTATGTTACTCTGGTTATTTTATCCCTTTTAACTCATTTGTTATGAATTTTCTAATTATTCACTTGCCTAAAACTGTCATACACTAAACAGTTTACCCTAACCTAACTAATCTAAACTTGCTGATAGAGAAAAAATTGAATGAACGTTTAAGTTACTAATCGAATCGATAGTTTCAATTGGTATTAGCATTCATTTGGTATTAGCCCAGTTAAGAAACTGTACCCGAGATAAGACTTGTTTCAGCATATTAAATGTATAAAACGTCAAAATGCTGATAGAGAAAAAATTGAATGAAGGTTTAAACTTATGTTAGGCTAAGTTACTAATCGAATCGATAGTTTCAATCGGTATTAGCATTGCCCAGTTAAGAAACTGTACCCCGAGATAAGACTTGTTTCGGCATATTAAATGTATAAAACGTAACAAAAAATGTATAATTCTGAGCAATGTACAGACTAAGTATTTAGGCTATACAAAAGTTAACTTAACTTAGATAGGCTAACTTAAGCCTTTGAAACAAAAATGATTTCAGTACTTTATTTAGTTTTCTCTGTATTTTTATGGTGTTTTGGTTTAGGCTATGTACTTTTACGCTTAGTGCATGGACCAAAAAGTATTTTGTTTTGACAAGGCCTTGCCTAATATTGCTTAATTTGATCAATCGCTTTCTTGATCAATAGGCCTTAGCTGATTTATAGAACCATGGTGGTGTCTGTATAAAACAGTAGGCTAATTTGGACCTTAAGCTACCCTATATACTTACAACTTCATACGATGTATGTCGTTCCATGTCCAATTCCACGGTCCAACTAATTAATTAAATTACAACTAGAACAATACACCTTAAAGAGTCATTGACTCCGCTGTTTAAGAATGAATAAATAACTGCAAAAACAATCAATATTCTTCAGTGAAGAATCTGAAAACTTCAACTAGCTAAAGAAAAGAGAAAAGTAAGTTAGTTAAACACGGAGTTTGATAAAAACACTGCGAGTGCCAGTCTGACTTGACTTGACTGGAGAGTGGAGACTGGAAATAGTGGAAAACACGAACCGTTGTTTCCCGTAACACCGCCCACCAGCGCGCCTTCCCCCACCACCGCGTCAAACGCCCGCCATGTTTGCGTGAGGCCGGAGTTGGCGCGAAATTTAAATTGCGTGTTAATAAATGGGCTGATGGCTCGTGTTCAACCTTCGAGTTCTTACTAGAAAACAAAATAAATGAGTTTTATTGTGATAACATTTCTGTTAATACTAGTCTTTATTTACAATTACCTGACATAGCCAAAAATTCAGAGATACATGTAATATATCTACATGATAAATTGATTTGATCATCTGACCGTGAGTAGGTTTTCATTGCATATTCAGTTCTTGGGGCCAAAAATCAAAAATTCTAAACATATTTATAATCAAGCTTCTAGTATGGCAAGCATTCCTTTGTTTTGTAACTAGAGAGTATATATCCTGGCTAAAAATCATACTTAAACGTTTCTAACTAATTATTAATGACCTAAAAGTAATAGATGTAGTTTTTTTTATACAGTTATAATCATTTTGATTATAACAATCTGTTAGCACTGCAGAACTGTATGTAAAAGCAAATAAAAGTAATATATTATTTTATTAAGGCATGACCATGAATGCATTTTAAGGCCTATTACTGTAGGCTATGCTTCTGATTCAAACAAATAGGCTACATTTACAAAATTCTTGAATTTGTTATATCAGTCTTTTAAAGACACAATACCAAAAGTTATTCCTTACTAGATTAGAATCACCATTTTAAGGGTGATCAAATGAATTTTAAAATGGCTTATATTATATTAAGTTTAGGCAATTAACAAGACGCATGAAAACAGTAAACCTCTGAAACTTAGATTCTTTCAAGTTAGGCTATGTAAAAATCCATGTTAGAGTGCTAAAAAATGTTATTTTTTTACCACTGTTACCGTTTGACTGTCTTGGCTATAAGTTGAGATCTTCATTAGGCAATTATTATAATTATTGTGAAACATTGACATTGCACAATTCCAATGCTGAAGGATAGTTAAGGATTTTGAATAACTTAAAGTTCCAAATTGCAAGAATGAAATATTAAAAAATAAAATGACTGTGAAATAAAACAAAATATATTTTGCAAGAGTAACTTAATTAATTTAGAAACCCCAATAGGCACAATAGGAATTTTATTGATGAGGAAGTTGAGGTTTAGTAAATAAAACAAATTAATTAGTCAAATACAGTGTATTTAAACATTTCACAAAAACAAAGTGAATCTTCTTTTATCCAAGTCTTAGATCATTACATTTGGAGTTTTTTTCATTGGAGAAACTGAACTATCAATTTGAGTGTGTTTGCTGTGGTGGATTTGGCTGATGTCCGTTTGATTTTCCCTGTGCTTTGTCTTGGCGTCTTAATCTCCATGGGTTCAATTGGAGTCTGAAACAAAAAAGGCCTTAGTTTTTTTATAACATTACTCGATAAAAAAAGTAAGAGGTGGTCCTTTACTGATTCAGATTTTTAAACTGTTTCAATCAAAAAACCAATCAAGATTAAACCAAAGTAGACAAAACTGTGTGTGAGATAATAATTCGCTTCTACTGAAATGAGCTGTAAAAATTTAAAAATCAAGGCTACACTTGCGCTGACACCAGGTAGAAGTAATAAAAGTAAAAATAATAGAATACTAAATCAGGTATTCAGTATATATTATAGTAGTTAGGTTTCAAAGTTCCGTCAGATAACAAAATTACTTTACACTAAATACTTCCATGTTGCTGTTCCACAGGCCTTATATGGAAGTGTAACCAAAATTAGCTAATACAATTTATAGTTTTTTTTTTACAGGGATTTCATTAAAATTACAGCCCCTATTAACTGCCACAGTGAGAGTAATAAGTTAGTGTCACTATTACTCTCACTGTGGCAGTTAGGCCTATGTTAGGTAAGGTTGTCGCCAGATTCATATGGCAGATATCGATCCGGAAGGAAAAATCTAGGATAATCTGAGGACTTTAAAACATTGCATGAATAACGATAAAGACACTTAGCACCTGAAATGTTGACACTGTAGGCTAAATTGTATTCTTTAATAGGACATCAGCCTAATAATTTTTGAATATTATAGTAGGTAGTATTGTAGTTCTGATAGGGTTATAGGTAAATATGACGCAGTCATACCGATATCATCGGTCAACAACATAGACTTCAAGTATCCAAGTAAGTAAGGTCTGCTTGAGTTTTAAGGCCAAAATATTATCATAAGTTATAAGTTAGCTGATAAGCAACAATTTCTGTGTCTGTGAAATTTTGCGATGCCAGTTTATTTTTTCCTAAAATTAAGTAGGCCTATTCGATCTTATAATACATGAAAACAACCTTAACATTTTTCTAAGGCACAGAATACTTTCATTTTAAGGTATTTTAACCCTCCAAGTGTCCATAGTAATGGTATTAATGTCCGCCCATTTATTGCGCAATCGCAGGACTTTATTAAAATGTACCTTATGTAAATGTAACTGAAAAACACTCTAAAGTATACTGTTTTATATATCATATTGTTTGGAAAATTATGGGCTTCAATGTTATATAAAACATTACAAAAAAAATGTTCTAACATTTTTGTGGGGTTATTATTTCTCAAAAATTATAAAATAAATAAAACAATTTTATGTTTGCACTCAATAAATGTTAATAATTCATAGGTCTACAAATTTTTTAAAATAGCTAATTTGTTCAAAATTTTATGAGGATTCCAAAAATATAGTACCGTAATATAAGGAAGTAGGTTTGCAAATAAATAAGTTATGGGTGAAAAACAGATTTCGTACATTTAGCGTCAGCTAGCCTAACCATAGCTAGGAATCTGGCGGATGATTTACTTCAATATCACTACCAACTTCTTCAGGATCATCAACCAGCCCTTCAAAATCACTTAAATCTTCTTATAATGCACCACGTATCTCACAACATTTTATTTTTAACACTAAAACAATGATAAACGTAATAAAACACATCAGTCATCGGTGCAAGGTTAACCAAGCTGTTTACAAATACGCACGTCATCTGGAAAAAGCTTAGAATCTGCTGAAAACAACGATACCAATCTCGATCCAGTTCAATCTGATTCAGTCGGTCCCAGAGCCTTTGCCGTAAACGATGCTTGTGTGTAGCAAAAGCGACGCATAACACCACGGCGGGTGTGTTGTGCGTCGATTACGCGACGCTTAACACTCCGAGGGTTAAAAATGTTAACAACCTATAACTGTGACTGCTTCTCTGGTGGAGTAATACCAGACGGGGGCACGACCACTGGCAACGATTACATTTCAAATGGTCAGTCAGTCACTGTCAAACAACCTAGGCCTTATTTTTTCTGTAACCCCCTGAAATGTCACTGTACAGCGCTTTGCAGAGTTAGGTTAGGTTTATTATGGTCTTATGTTATTATGTTAAAACTTTAACTTAATATGTATTTAAGATGTAAAAGATCTTACCTCAACAATATCAGGCTATCCATAGAAAAGTTGTCCACGGCGGCGTTTTTTTTTTTTCCGAACTGCTGTACATAATCGGTGAGCACAGCGTCATCTTTAAGGAGCTTGACAAGTGCTCCAAGTCTTATCTAACTTAACTTAAACTTCATCGTTGTGTCATCAGATAATTGTTTACTGCAAAGAATCAATACTAAACAGTTTCTTTCCGATTTTTTCTTTTGACAGCCTTTTCCCAGGATTTCAACAGCTTTAGGCGAGTTAATAGAAATCTGAAAAAGTTAAAAAATAGTTTAACTTAATTCACAGTAACCTTTAGACTTAGGTTTCCATAAATCCACATACATTGTAGTTCAACACCTATACCTGGAAATGTAAATAATAGCAATAGTCAATGATAATGGCAAAATAGCTATGAAGGGCCTATGATTGATAAATGGAGCTGACGCTAGGTACTACTTGTCAGTATAGGTACGAGTATAGGCTAGTAGCATGTATAGTAGCATTGCTAGTAGGTATGGTTACCAAAATAAAAATACAAGAATTTATTTGATTCAGTTATAATAGTTCAAATTAAAATGCACTTCTGATTTTTAACAGTAAGAAGTTATCTGAAGCCCTAACCAGTCTATAGGCCTAAGTTAGCGACATTTATTGATACAGTAATTATTTAAAACTTACTTGTAAAACTGGACCCCATTTCCTTTATTGTACGTTTCTTTGCATCCAAATTCAACACAATATCTAACCAAAATTTGCGTAATTGACTCGCATAATTAAGATAAACATAATTACAATAAGCAAAACCCATAAAGAAGCCATGTTATTTCTACAATAAAAATATATAGACCCATGAGCATTTTATAAATAGTAACATACCTTATGTTAACTAATGATGTTCTTCAAGTATATTTCTTATAATCCAAAATATAGGTTTACTATATTACATTCTTTAATTTACATTTATTTACATTAATATTTTTACATTAACCATAACAACATGCCGTGCAGACGACAACAGCTTACAGCAGCAGACGCGTTTGGAACGGGGCGGCGCGGTGGTGGGGGAAGGTGCGCTGGTGGGCGGTGTTACGGGAAACAACGGTTCGTGTGGAAAACTACCATCGGCAACCATAAAAAATACCTAAAATCAGCTGTCTGTTTAGTGTTTATTGTAGCAAGTGGTTTAAAAGCAGCCAACAAAATATTTCATGAAAAGTACAGTATAAAAGCATGGTGGAAGGTAAATGTATTTTCCTTCCACCATGGTATAAAAGTAGGCCCATAAAAATCCCAATGTCTCTTTGCAACAGTTATTTGCTCAATCAAATAGATTTGGTAACAAGCTTTAAAAAATACCCCTGCCACAGCAAACCTGCAGACTAAGCGAATGTCCATTTGCCTGATTGGATTAACATTGTCTAGAGGCTAAAATGTCTCCTTAAAAACATCACATTTATTCCCTATTTAAATAGAATTAGTTTGACCGTTGACAAGTACTTAGGTTTGCTGTAACAGGGCG